TTTGGTGGTGCTTGGTAAATCTGTCCCTTTTTGATTCGACTGTAAAGCAAAACATCCAAATTATAAAACTATGCCCACGTCATCTTTAACTCCAGTTCAAAGCTTTCTAGAGAAGTTGTCGGAGTGGCCAATCCGTATCTTTCCTCTTCAGCCGAAAGAGCCTAACGACAAGCTGGATGAAATCTGTTGCTGTTCCACCTGCTGCAACTGTTCCTTTCAGAATAAAAGCTGAATCATCACGGCCCGTTTTTGGGTCTCGCTAGATGCCAATAAAACTGTTGGGACCCAGAAGTATCTCAAAACTGGTCTGGTCGGCAACTGCTGCTTTTCCTACCGGCTTCGGTTCCAGAGAAGGTCAAGCTGGACCTCGACATTCCTGATCTAACGGGGACTTCCGAAAGGGTACGTAGGCAGGCAGAATGGCGTCTCAATGTGCGTTATAAATCTCCAAACCAAAGCTTAGTGTGAAAACATCATCTTCACTCCCATCAGAACTAATCGTTTCTCCGGATTTGCTGGTTCTGAACAACATTTCACACTACACCATTCTCCGTCTCACTTCACCTTAGTTACACCTTACATTTAGTGTTTACAGTTAGTCTAGTTTTATTATTATTTTTTTTTTGTAATTGAAGTCTTTATTTACTTTTAACTTTTAACCACATGAGAACATAGAAACGAAAACAGAACAGTCAAAAACAAAACAACAACAGAAAAAAATAAAATAAAATAAAATAAAAAGGACAGCTTCCAATTCCATGATAAATTCACCTTTGTATTTTTGGTCTATTTTCAATACCTACTAACATGCAGCGCAGTATGCATAAGATTAAACTGAAGATGATCGCTCCAACCAAATAAATTCCAACCGTCTTAGCCAAAAACCCGTCCCCATGATTTGTCAAAACCCTCCCTATCATCATTAATCCTAGCCAAAAAATTTTCATATGCCACCATTTTCTGCATATTTTCTTCCCACCTATTATATTCTGGAGGAGATGGTTGCTTCCATACACTGAGGATAACTCGGGCCGCTGCAATCACCCCCACCTTTATAACCACAAAATCATATTTTGAAACCCCAGGCAACACCGACCGATCCCCTAATAAACACAATCTTGGTGACAAGGGTATTATCATACCAATCCACCTACCTATTTTGTTCAATACTTTTTGCCAAAAGGGATAAACTTTCCCACATTCCCAAATAGCATGCAGAAATGTCCCTGGATCTGAACTACATTTCCAACATTTATTACTGGTACTGATTCCCATTCTATAAAGTTTGGACGGAGTGAAGTACCACCTGTGTATTAATTTGTACTGAATAAATTTACCCCTGACCTCTCTTATATATTTATCCGAGAATGACAAAATTCTACCCCAATTTTCTTTAGAAATTGCACAACTCAAATCCCTCTGCCATATAATACTCAAGTTTTCACATATCTCTTTCTTAGGATTGTTAAACAGTTTGTAGAAAACAGCTGCTCTATGTGCTGTATTGGGCAATTCTAAAAACTCCACCATCATATTTGAGCTTTGACTAAATTTTCCTTTGGTAATACAGTCCCTTATTTGTAAATACTTCCAAAAATTATTTTCTCTTATCAAACCATATTTTTTGGATTATTTCAGCGAATGACATAAACACTCCCCTGAGTAAAGATCACTTATCCTGTGTATACCTTTGACAAGCCATTCCTTCCAAAACACTGTTTTTCGCCCAATCTGTAAAGCAGTGTTGTTCCATAGTGAGGTGTAAGATTGTCTTAAGTGAGATGCTCCACACATCTTATGCACCTCTACCCAGACAGCTTTTGAATACCCGAGCACTGGGTTATCATAAAAGTCTTGTCCATTACTTGCTGAGCCCTGTGAGAGAACATCCAAGGGTGTAAAAGGGCTCACTAGTTCCTGTTCGATCTTCATCCAGCTCAGCTCAGGGTCCGAACCTGTCCAGTGCTTGGCCAGTCTTGACATTTCAAAAGCTAAATTATACAACTTCACATTTGGCAGGGCCATTCCCCCAATGTCTTTAGAGGCCCACATTTTCTTTATATTCACTCTTGGCTTTTTGTTATTCCACAAAAAAGCTTTAATTAACTTCTCAAATTCACTAAATATATGTAAAGGAATTCTCACAGGTAACATCATGGAAACATAATTGAACTGTGGGGCCACCATCATTTTAATCACATTAATTTTACCCCATAGTGTAAGATTCAATTTACCCCACTTATCCAAATTTGTTTTTATCTTTAGGAGGAGAGGTTCCATATTTGAAAGCATAATATCTTCTAGTTTTGGTTTTAATATTATTCCTAAATACTTCATACCTGAGGGTAAATACTTAAAATTGAATGGAGTAATGCATCCAGAATGACATGATGCTGAAAGTGGCATGCCTTCCGATTTGTACCAGTTTATCTTATAACCTGACAACCTTGAAAATGACTCAACCCATGTGAGTAGCGCTGGTAGAGACTGTATGGGATCCGTTAATACTGCTAAGATGTCATCAGCATATAGAAATAACTTGTGCTCCATACCCCCAGCATGCACCCCTCTGACATCCCTGTTAGCCCGAATAGCCAAGGCCAGTGGTTCCAAAAATATTATGAAGAGCAGCGGGGATAACGAACACCCCTGCCGGGTCCCCCGAGTGAGATGAAAAAACTCTGATATCACTCCGTTTGTCAAAACTGCTGCCCTTGGACTTGCATATACAGTTTTGATCCAATTACAAAATCCAGGCCCAAACCCGAACCTTTCAAGGGTCGTCACAAGGAATCCCCACTCCACCCGATCAAAAGCCTTCTCAGCATCCAGCGAGAAGGCCGCAACTGGGGCTAGACTAGATTTGCTTTTATGCATGAGATGAAGGAGTCTTCTAATGTTATCACCTGAAGACCTATTCTTGACAAAACCAACCTGATCACCATCGATGATATCTGGTAATATTTGTTCCACGCGGAAGGCCAAAACCTTTGTCAAAATTTTGCAGTCTACGCCTAAAAGGCTTACTGGCCGATAATTTGATGGATCCGATAGATCCTTATCCTTTTTAGGAATAAGGGAGATTAGTGCCTCATTAAGGGTGCTCGGTAAGGAGCCTGATTCCAGTGCCTCAAGATAAACTTTATGCAGGACTGGCGCTAAAATATCAATATATTTCTTATAATCCTCTATCAGAAAGCCATCCAAACCTGGGGATTTCCTGTTTTTCATTGAAGAGATCGCAGCTCTAACTTCTTCTTCAGTTATAGGTATATCCAGTCTTGTTTTCTGTTCCTCAGAAAGAGTTGGTAATTGTAGACCTGAAAAAAATGTCTTCACCTCCCTCTCATTAAGTGCACCAGCAGAAGTATACAAATCTTGATAAAAATGATTTAAAATTTTAATTTATTTCTTTTGATGAGGTTACCACTTGGCTGTCTTTCTTAATCATAGCTATATTAATACTTTTATCTTGCTGCTTCAGTTGCCTTGCCAATAGTCTACCATTCTTTTCGCCACTTTCGTTTTAAGCCTAAATAAAGCATATTCTGCCTTTTTGTTATAAATGTCATTCAACTGGTATTTCAATTTACATATAGTCTGGTACTTATAATTTGAATATTGTCTTGCTAAATCCCTCTCCAGCTCTCGTATTTCTTTATCTAAAGTTTTTTCCCGTTCTAGGTCACTTTTCTTAACTTTTGTTGCATATGCAATTATCTTTCCTCTTATATATGCTTTAGATGCTTCCCAAACTGTGGCTACTTTATCTGTGGAGCCCATATTGATTTCGAAGAAAAATTTAAGATCCTTTGTTAACTCTTCACTAAAACTTTTGTTCTGCAACAACATTGTGTTAAGCCTCCAGCGACCCCTTTTTATTCTATCTGTGTTTAAGTCAATTTGCAACTCTACCGTAGCATGGTCACTAATAGCAATGGCACCAATCTCACAGTCTACCACTGAATCAACCAAAGACTTTGATATTAAGGCGAAATCTATTCTTGAATATGTTTTATGACAATTAGAGTAAAATGTATATTCCCTTGAACTAGGGTTAACTAACCTCCAAATGTCTACTAGGCAAAGATCCTCCGTCAATAATTGAATAGCCTCCCTATCCCTGGGTGTAGTCCTACCCCTGGGTTTGCTCTTATCAAGTATCCCATCCATCACCTGGTTGAAATCTCCGGCCAATATTACCTGTCCCTCACGATCCCCTATTATCTTATTAATTTTGTGAAAAAAAGCTGGCTCTTCTTTATTAGGTGCATAAATATTACACAATACTGTTTGAACCCCATTAATTAAGGCTTCTAAGCATATAAAGCACCCTTCTTTATCATTATATTCTTTCAGCAACACAAAGCTTAGCTTTTTATTAATAAGGATCAACACACCATTTTGTCTACTTGAATATGAACTATGAAAAACGGAGCCCACTCAGTCTCTTTTAAACTTTTTTTGCCTCTTCCTCTCCAGCAATGTGGGATTCCTGAATAAACGCTATATCTGTGTTTTTAGATTTTAAGTATGCTAGAACCTTCCTCCTTTTAATTGGGTCCCCACATCCTTTTATGTTCCATGATATTATTTTAGTATACCTGTTCATCGCTTTCTAATAGAAATGGGGTAAGGACACACCTTGTGCGCTTTAGAACACAACACAAATATATACATAGGCACACAATTTTACAAAACCCATCTGGTCCTGTCAAACTAGCTGTCTTTAAAAAATAAAAATAAAAAAATAAAACCCTGAACCAAACAAACACCCTTCCTTGCATAACAACCCAAAACAACATCGTTAAACGCCCCCTCCTTCCCCTCCCACCCAAACCTAACCTTAGCTTGACACTAAACTGCCCTTGTTCCGTGAGACACACCAATCGTCCGACAGCAGCACAACCGCCGCAACCCCGTGATGCCCATTGTTTATTTATCTTATTTTAACATTTGCATACACTCCTCAGATCTCTTACTTCATGTCCTGCACTCCTCTAAGTCGACTCCTGCAGAAACTTCTCGGCTTCCTTCCCGTCTTTGAATACTTTCTTTTGTCCGTTCCACGTAAAGATGAGCGTTGCAGGATACACCAACCTGTGCTTCACTTGTAGCTCTCGGAGACGCTTCTTCGCCGAGTTGAAAGCCTTCCTCTTCTCCGCCAGCTCCCTTGTAACATCTTCAAAGAAGGAAAGCTTGACGCCTTGCCAATCGACTCCACGCTTCTCTCTGGCCACCCGTAGTACTTTCTCCCTGGCAGATGAACGTAGAAAGCGGACAAATATCGCCCTGGGAGGCTCATTAGGTTCCGGCATTGGCACAGGGGAACAATGCGCACGTTTAATTTCAAATTCACTTCCTGAAAGCTCAAGTGCTTTGGCCAGAATCTCCGTCACATATTTGTCGACGTTCCCGGGTGCCTCCACCCCTTCTTTAAGTCCAATAATGCGTACGTTATTTCTCCTACTACGGTTTTCAAAGTCCTCCACTCGTGACCACAATGCCTCCAACCTTTTCTGGACTTTATCCACTTTTGCTTCGGTAAGAACGCTAGCATCTTCCATTTCTGAGATACGTTGTTCCGCCTCTCCTAACCTCACTTTTATGTCTTCCACCGAGTCTTTAAGTTCTTTCGTGGTTTCTTTAATAGTGGTGACATCTTTTGCTACGACCTGAAGAGTAGCATTCATTTTCTTAATTTCCTCAAAAATGTCCTTTTTGCTCTCGGTTCCCATACATTCCTCCACTGCTGTTGGAGAGGCGGCCTCAGATGCAGGCATATTTTCCGGCGTCTCCGGTGCAAGGCTAATGCTAGCATGCTTCTTCCTTGTGGTAGCTCCCTTAAAAAAGTTTGCCTTGTTATTACCGGCCATTTTCCAAAGACGGTACTCCTCGCAAAACTTAAAAAGTCGACAAGGGGTGTCCAATTTATGGCTACAGCTGGAGTGTATGTTTCAGATTCAGATCATTAATCAACAGGTTTTAGGAGCGCCTCTAAAGTGCGGCCATCTTCCTCGGTGGTCCCACGTGACTCCCCTTAGTCTAGTTTTAATTTGTTTAGTAATAAATCTTTAAACTTTTAAAACTTGACTCTCTTTCTTTTGTCTCTGAGTTAGTTCTAAGTGGTTACATAATCCCTGCAATAAAAAGTTCCAATTTTCTGGTTTAAATGATGTAAAAATCCATAAGATTTCATATAGAATCTCACATTTTATGGTTCATTAAATATTAGGTAAATTTAATCGTTACAGAGGAATGGAGCTCTGTAGATTATCAAAACTGGCAGATACTTGCTGGCAGTTTTTCACATTACAAATACAGGCCATATTTAACCAGAAGAATTAGGATTCTTTGCTTATTCAAGAGATCATAAGCACACTTTGTATTAATTCAGACAGAGTCAAGTTTATAATTAAAATAAACAGCAATATGTGATGAGTGTATGATGTGTGATGGAATGTGATGTATGCGGTGGTGTTTATCAGAACCTTTTGTATGTGGAAGAAACAGTGACCACACCATCTGCAAAAAGCAGAGACTCAATCCTTAGGCCACCAAAACGGATCCCCTCAACAGCTTGGCTGTGCCTACAAATCCTGTCCATAAAAGTTATGAACACAATCGGTGACAAAGGGCAGCCTTGGCGGAGTTCAACTCTCCCCGGAAATGAGCCCGACTTACTGCGGACCAAGTGCTTAGCCAAGCAAAGAATATTCTTGCTTTATATTTTGATGTCATTAATGTGGACACTGGCGCCTCTAGTGGCATAGCAGTGACATGCATTCATTTTATAAAATAAAATAAAATAAAAGGTGACAGATTGTATAAAAACAATAAAATATCAAGAATGGTGTGAATGTCTCAATTTCACATTGTCCCAAAGTTGTCCCATGTTGTGTTCACATTTGGACTCATGGAAACTAAAATGAGAAGGGTTCTGGATTAGTTTTAGATGCTTGTTATGACTTAGAAACAATTTTCACTAGAAATGTATCATGCAAGCGGTTTAAACAGTTTCAGAATTCTACCACACAAGAGATATCGAAAATCGACATGTAGGCAATAAATAACCATTTTATAACAAACAAAATAAAACTTTGCTAAGGATTCAGAAAAACTGGTTGATGTATGCATTCCTTTCAAACTTGATTTGTGCAATTCTGTTATCAGGGTTTTCAAAAACCATCTTTGTGGCCTCCAGCTGATCCAGAATGCTGCTGAAAGAGTTGTGATGAGTGTTACAAGGAATCTGATTTCTCCAGTTCGGGCATCACTTGGTTTATGATTCACAAAAGAATAAAAGAATGACTCCTGACTTCTGAAGCTCTGGAAGTTGTCTCCTTATGTTAAAAATGTTTCTGTTGCAGATGTTCCCAACTAAGTGTTTGCCTCTCAGTCTGCAGGTTTACTTGTGGTTTCTGGATACTCTAAAAGTAGAATAAGAGGAAGAGGTTTCAGTACGCAGGATCCCCTCTGGTGGAACCAGCTTCCAATTTTCACCCATGAGGCAGACATGCTGTTTATTTTCAAGACCAAGCTTCAGACTTTGCTTTTTTTTATCAGTCTTTTAGTTAGGAATAGCTTGGGTTATCCCAGCTCATCCCTTTAGTTACGCTGGTGTAGGCTTACCCCTTCTTTCTACTGGATGTGAAAGCAGTGCATAACAAAATAGAAGCATTTTACCCACCAGCTTATTCCCAACAGGAAGCATTTCAGATGCAAAATGAGAGCAAAAGGGTTCCACACCGCTGGTACCTCAAAGTCACAAAAATACGGGAGAATTGCAACACCACGCGTGATTTCCGAAGTTACAAACTAGGAGAAAGACAGCTGCATGTATATATTTTACAGGAATTTATGTACATTTCCGTTTCCAAATTTTAAACACTGCTTTTGTGTTTGACTTCCTGTCTGGCCCGATTGAAACTATGGAGATTGACGTGTTTTGGAAGCGTAGCATGTATAAAATAAACTCAAAACGTATAGATAATGCCTCTTGCTGCTGGGACACATCGAACGTGTTGCACATGTTGCTGATGGAAAGGAACCTGTCAACTACAACAGTGGTGTAGTACGTTTTGCAAAGCTTTCACATCCAGTGGAAAGATGGGGTCAGACTGTTGAACTGAAACAGCAGACTCATGCATTGTTTTACCTGCTTAACATTGAGGACTGTGGAAAACGATGAATGTTTGAATTACAGTTGAATTTGTGAGAAAATTATGGTTTTAAATGAACATAAATGCTGACCAATTCAATTTGGACTAGAAGTGTTCAGTAGCTTGCTAACACATTGTGTTTCCTGGTTGCTTTGGTACATCTTGTTTCTGGAATTACAAAGTAAAAGTTCAATACAACTGGAGATCTTACTTATGTTGTCCAACCAAGCTTACATAAACATGACTTCATTGGGGGCGCTGTTGAGTGATGGAGGAGTAAGACGTGTTTGGCCGAGCTCTGACATCTTTATCCTAAAAAAACCACTAAGTTTCTTCAAATCCGCTCTTAAGATAGGGGGAACGACTTAAGAAGATACAGAAGTACATTATCAAGGCCAAGGAAGAAATAGTCATGTCGAAAAAGGTGAAAATCAAGAAGAACGACCAACAAGATGAAGGCCCCAGCCAACCCTCGGACCAGAATGACGCACCTCTACCTGGGGATATGAGAGTCGAAACGGATCCTCCCAACCGGGAAATACTAGCTGCCATTGCCAACCTTTGTAGGGAAGTAGCCCAGATAAAGAATGATATATGTGCCACCATAGATGCACATATAGAAATGGTCTACGCGGAGCTGAGAGGGGAGCTAGCTGGAGCTAAGAGGGAAATTCAGACCTCTATTACAACCCTTGAAGAAACCACGACCTCGCATGGGAAGACTATTAAAGAGCTGGAGAAGTCAGCCTCGCTTCACTCTGATGATGACCTCGCTCTCCAACGCTAGGTAACAAGACTGAACTCCGAAGTGGGGAAAGTAACTGAGAATTGTGAGGGCTTGGAAGGTAGATCTGTCATCGATCTGCTCCTACCCCTCTGACTCTTACTCTCTCCTGCCCGTGATTAGTTAGTTATTGGACTCACCTGCCCCTTGTTAACCTGCCCATGTGTTCCTGATTGTTCCCTGTGTATTTATACTTCCCGTCTTGCATGTGTCCCTTGTCAGATCATTGTTGTTGTTTGTTGTTGTTTCTCCACCTTGTCTCGTTGCTCCTGCTGTATCCTCCGTCATTAAATCCATTTTATGTTATCTGAGCCTGCATTTCTGCCTCCTGGGTCAGCTCCACCACACATGGTCCACTGCCACCCACACCCCAACGTGACAGAATGATCCGACCAACCTGGACCTGTGGTGAGCTCTAACATCTGCCTGGAGGATTAATTATTTTTACTTTGTCTCCGTCCAGTGGAAGGAGATTCTGGCTCGAGGGGTTTCGGTGCATCCTACCTGTTTCCGGGGTGGTCGAACCCATTCTCCTCTCCTGTTGCCCGCCTCGTCCTGTTTTTTTTTTCTCAACGGAAGCTGCAGGTCTTGGAGGCAGTAAAATCGGCCAGCGGGCCAGTTTTAATATATTTTTGATATTTATCTCGCGGGCCACATAAAAATGCTCCGCGGGTCGCATCTGGCCCGCGGGCCTTGTGTCTGACATATGTGATCTAAAAGGAAAGAAAACTTGTCCAAGTTGAAGGATCTAGAGGATCAGATCAAAGCACTAGATCAAGAAAATGCTCAATCCCCATCCGTTACACTGCACAGGAAAATAAAGTTGCTGAAATATGAATATAACCAAATTTTATCGGTGAAGCTAAGCAGAGCATTCCTGTATACTCGACAGCGGTTCTTCGAATTTGGGGATAAGCCACATAAATTGTTGGCACATCAACTCCGAAAAATGGAAAATGATAGGACAATACATAAAGTTAAAGCCAGTGATAATACATTGCTCACAAAACCCAAATATATTAATAATAGATTTGCTGAATTTTATAAAGAACTATATACTTCTAAATCCATTTTAGACCCTGAGACTATGAATAAATTCTTAGATAAATATAATCTACCCAAACTAAATGACAAGGGTTGTAATTCATTGAATGCAGAGCTCACAACACAGGAGGTTCAAGCTGTCAGTACATTAAAATGTAACAAAGCGCCAGGTCCCGATGGACTCCCTGGAGAACAATATACAAAATGCAGTGAAAAGTTGTCCCCCTATCTACTGAAGGTATTCAAACATGCTCAAGAAGATGGGGCTCTACCGCCAAACTTAACTGAAGCTGTGATCACAGTAATTCATAAAAAAGGAAAAGATCCACAGGAAGTAGGTGCATATCGCCCTATTTCGCTCCTGAATGTTGATGGGAAGCTACTTGCTAACAGACTGAACCCTTTATTGGAGAAGTTGGTTCATTCAGATCAGATGGGCTTTGTACCTAATAGAAATTCCACCTTTAATATTAGATGCCTCTTTAATATTATGTACTCAAGAAGGGATCCACAAACGAATCTTGTCATACTCGCGCTTGACTCTGAGAAGGCGTTTGATCAGGTCAAATGGTGATACCTATTTGAAGTCCTCGGTAGATTCAACTTTGGAAATGGTTTTTTGTCACTAATTAAGCTTCTCTACAAAAAAACCCACAGCCCAAATTCTAACCAACCACACACTGTCTTCCTCATTTGGGCTGTGCAGGGGGATGAGACAGGGATGCCCCCTCTCCCCTGTAATCTTTGCTCTTGCAACAGAGCCATTGGCTCAAAGTATTAGGCTAGACCTATA